TTTCACGTGATTCCAGCTGATATGAGATATCTTGCAATTATTGATTATTCTGTTATATTTTTCCTGTAATATCGCTTCTTGTTGCTTCCTGCTAAGCAAATGCATAGGCTTTCACTACCTGAACCGAATATTGAACTCATGAACCTTAAATGAAAGCAACAGATATATTCACTACGCCACTATGCCAAATTAAGATTTTTTTTTTTTTTTTGTATTCTTAGGAAGGAAATTGAGCGGCGCTACGTACATTTTAGCCCACCACCACAAATACAAATACAAATACAAAAAAAAAAAAAAAAAAAAGTATTAACCTAAATATTTTTCTTAAACAAGATGTTTTGGTTAACGTGGCGTTGAAATACTCGCAATATTTAGTATTTTTGAAATCGCTAACATTTTTGTCGAGATTTAAAAACTGTAGTCTCTTTCAATTTCGCAAACTAATCGATGAAATAAGGTCGGTTTAATAATTCCTTTAATTTAATTTTATATTACTAATGGCAATATTTTTTGGAGAAAATTATTTTTTCGCCTTTCCTTTCTAACGGCGAAGAATAAATTCTTAGGATTTCTTACTCTTAAGCATGCAACATACAACTGGCCATGCGTAAATATTTATTTCTAGAGCCAAATTACACATTTTTGAAGCGTTTGGCCTCGTGATTTGTTTATAGTTCTCCCAAACGCAGAGTGAACTGGAAAATAGATTCTTAAATATATGCAAACTTAAAGAAAATGTATTTAAAATATTGCATTTTTATTAAATAAGTATTTGTCATTTTAATCATTAAATTGTTTTTAAAATAGTGAAAGTATTTTGTATAGTAAATGATTAAACGTTTTTCAAAAACAATCATGAAAATATATTGTACTAAGCTTGGGACCATATTAAAATCAATTGTACATTGTACCCCCTTACATGTTTGCACTTCTCCAAAAAAATCGAATTCGATAGCTCACTGTATGGCTATTTTCGAAGATGTGACGGACGGGCAAACGGAAGTTACAGAATTTTTTATATAGATAGATAGCCTCGTCAAATCAAGCCTTTCATATGGATGTCATATATGGCTCTAAATTTGTTGAAAAAAAATATATAAACTGTCAGGTTAATAGAACCTCTTTCTCAGATCAATCGTTAAAATGGTTTACAGCGTAAAAAAAACTGTAGGTCATAGCGAGGATAAATCCTTCATCGAACCTCGTGGACTGACGCTACAGAATCACAAACAAGGAATTATGCTAAATAAAAGACACCACATCACTTTCGGTCTTTCAACAACAGGAGGAACCAAAATATCACATGGAACTCGAAGATATAAGTAATGGAAATCAAAGGGTTGAAAGAACGATAAAAGTTAATGGCATTTTAAAAGCTATTTTCCTGAAACGTTGTTTAATAGAAAGATTTGACAAATTTCGACCGATATTAGCACTGACAGGTCGGTCAATAAATACTGATTTTTTTTCCTTATAAGGAAACGGATAATGTTATTAGTACTATTACCATTCAAACCAAATGTCACTCGGCTTCAAGACGTAAAATATTTCATATCAGCCAAACAAATGAACACCTGAAGATGGTTAGAGTCTCCTTGACAGTCACCTCTTGTCTATAATAATCAAGATGGAAACAATTCTTTCTCTATTTGTCATGCTCCTTCAGGTCGTTGGCTATCATGGTTCCTCAAAAATTGTCTGTCCTTTGTAGCTCTTAGAAATGTCTATCATTTTGCTATCTTTCCTGTCATCAACAGAAGCTCGTTAGGCAGGTGCTGCGCTGTTTTTTCCCTGTCTCTCTCGCCTTCAATATGTCTAGTGGGCGTCATATTTTCCAAGCCATCTCTCCTCATTATGTGCCCTAGAAATTTTAACTGTCCCTTTATGATTCTTTTTGATGTTAAGTAGTCCTTTTTGTGATGGAAACAATATTTCAAGAAATCTATCCTCACAATTCCTCATCTCAAACATATAAACAAATTATCAAGCACGTTAACTACTGCACAGTATATAATATATTGACATTTATAAGAATTCAAACGGTTTTCTCTGATATCTACAAGAAATAATTTCGGATTTTAGACACAATACATTCTCATACAAGATTAAATGAAAGTGTAGGTTTAGGGGTTTTTTTTTATATCTCGAACTCGGATTAAAAAATAAAGAATTATATCACCAATGAAGTAGTTTCACTGATATCTTTACTGGAGGAATTTCAAATCGATTGAGTCAAAAATGTCTCCTAAGTAGGAGCGGGCTTTCCTATTGCTAGTACACTTAACATTGTCGCTTGTCTATCAAAGTAGTCTATTAGTATGCATTCGAAAAATATTAATATAAAAAATTAAAATATTTATATTGGTCATTCCAGATTCGTCACAAGACACTAATGATGGAGTTATCTGCGAGGAATTTCTAGTAACACTTGCAAAACGACTGACATCTAAGAACATATTTTTAAATTTAGCACAAATTGTGAAGCCAGCAAACTAAAGATTTAGCGACGGAAAAAAAGTCCGTCTTTATATAAATGGCGGGCTAAGCTAAATTTGGCAATATTTGCAAAACAAAAAGTTTAACATCTTCGTTTCTGTATTTCTATAAGTAAAATATCGATCAAGAATGCCATGTAATAACAGTAATAATAATGGATGGTCGATTTCGGCAGGTATTTATAAGGGTATGTCAACTCTTGTCGGATTATTTTAATGTTGAATTGCTTTTTATTATTATAGTACTTCATGTCAAGTTTATACTTGAGTCTATTGGTCATGTTTATACTTAAGTCTTTTGGTCACATTTATATATGGGTCTGTCGGTAAATATTGGACAAACGCACACTTAAACCTATAGAATATCATTGTTCATGTTTATACTAGAATATATCCGTAAATAGTAGTCTTCTTATCCTCAAGTAGATAGGTAAACTTTAGTTTGATTTATATGTGTGTATATTGGAAAATATTGATCGACTTATACATTAGTCTACAGGCAAATATTAGTCATGTTTATACTTGAGACTGTAGGCAAAAATGAATCAGTATATTAGTCTACAGGTAAATATTCGTTGTATTTATACTTGAGGCTATAGGCATAAATGTGTCGGTATATAAGGATTCTACAATTAACCATTGAATATATGCTTGAGACTATATTCAAAGAATGTAGGATATATACTTGAGTCTACAGGTAAACATTGCTCGGGTATATGCTTAAAGATATAAGCAAAAATTGTCAGGGTATATAGTTAAGCAAACACAATAATTTTATTTTAATCTTTTCCTAATGGAATCGGGAAGTTTTCATTACTAATCGTATTTTCACGAATAATCTTGTTTTTTTTTGTTTTGTTTTGTTATGAGAAACATTTTACAGAATTTGAACTTGCAAGCTGCAAAATTTTACCCAATAAAATAGCATAGATTTTAAATTGATTATTAATTATAAAAATACATAGTACCTGGTGGCGAGCAAAAGGGTTAGACCACGATGTGAATTACCCATCAGGAACGTCAAAATTAAACAAATGCGGGCATTCAACTATCAAGGTAGTAAAATAAGAGGCGACAGAAAGTGTTATGCATATATACATACCTCTCTACCGCCAAAAGTCTCTTCTTCATCTGTAAGAAGATTACCCAACATTCACTGTCTTATAGACTAGATACTACATAGCTGTTAACTCTTTTTCTCTTTGTTTCTGAGGAAATTTTCATATCTTAATGTTTAGTTTCTGGAAAACACCAGTCTCTTCGCTCAATCGGATTTCTGTCTCATTTTCATTTTTTATGTGCCCTTTAGGGATCGGCGATCAGGTCTCTTCACATCTTCCTATCCTTTGTAACTCTAACCAATAGTTGTCCTCTTGGTATCCCTACCATTCGCTCCCAGCCATCCATTTACCCAAGTTGGTTGATGCTTACCTGTGCTTAGTTTGCCTTCAATTTGCCACCTGAGTATCAAATAAGCGAAGGCTCTTTTACTCGTGCGTCAGAAAGTTCAGGTATCTCTTTCTGGTTCTAAGCCACTGTGCATAGCGGCTCTAATTGAGAAATCGGAGAGACGAGGTCGAATTCCGGCCGAGTTGGTTATATTTATTTACGTACATATACACTTGGGAAAGTATGAATACAACTCTTCTCCACTCAGCTATGGGTAAATAGCAGGACAGACTGGGTCCTATAAACTTGAGAGGTACCCAGTATAAGAGAAGGACAACTATGAATTCAAAACCCCCAAATATGGATTAAATAATCTGCAATTGGCCAGACCTAGTGAGTATGGCTACTCCCTTGAAAACATTGCCAATCAGAGAGTGGTTTGTCTAGAAGGAGTGAGATGGCTCACATTGCATTCGAATTTTATTTAAAATTTTAGCCATGTACTCTTTACTTCCTGAATATTATACATTGCCATCTTGTATGTTTTACTTTTTTTCTTTTATACTTGTAATTTGGAAGCACAATGGACTAATGAATAGCATCTCGGATTGAGGCATCGGAGAGCCGAGTTCGAATTCCAGTCGAATCCTTTACATTCACTTACGCTCAGAAAGCCGTTAGGGATGTACGAATCCATTTCTCCCCACTACCCCAGCTATGCTTAAATAGCAGTACAGTCTGGGTCCTATAGCTCTGGGTGGCAAATGATCTAGAAGACCCCGGATTTGGATTATGATGTTTCTGATTCTCAGTACAAATATCATTTCTGTTCCCATTTTCCTTGAAACTTTCTCATTGTTTAAAGGTCATTCACATAATTCTTCTGAAAAACCACATTTCTGTTGTGTCAAGTTGCCACTTTTACTGCGTGAAAGTTCATCAGAATTCATTTCCATGTCGGAAAACTGATACTACCTCACATTTCAGCACATTTTCTTTGTTTCTAACGAAATTTTCCTGTTTCTTAATACTTTGCTTCGATCTCGGAAGGCAACTTTTGCCATCCCAATGCGCCATCGTATCTCTGCGTAATATTTTACGTCGTCCTTTTTAGGCTTACAGCCATATCACGTTGAAACACCGATTCTCGTCCGATCACCGGAGTTAAGTAACTTTGAACCTGCTCAATACGTAGATGGGTTACAACTCCGGAATAGCAGGTGCTGTTAGCTTGAATGTGCACGTGGTATCATGAATAACGGCTCCGAATTAGAAAACAGAGAGCCGAGTTGAGTTCATTATATTCTTTTGCTTGCAAATGCCCTTTGGAGAGTTATGAATCCACGTCCTCTCCTAACAACTATTCGGTTAAGCACTACGAATTGTACCAGGAAATTATTAGTATCTCCAAGAAATTCTTATAATTCCAAAATATATATCGGCTTTAAAAAAAACCTTAAACAAGGTTGATAAGTCATAAAAAAAAACAAATCGATTGTTACATTCCGTGCTAAAGGAATAAATACTTAACACCAGGTGGATACTAGAAGAAAGGTTTATTGTACACAACAAGTACAATATGAAATACGGCACAGTTATACACACAGGTCAATCTAGTAGTGAGTGCCACTAACTGGAAGGTCGGATGTGCTTGCATCGTCTCTCTCTCACTCTTCTCACGTCTCCCCCGTCTCTCGTAGACAGTCGACTTTGTAGGTACTTACTACCTATAGTGTAATCATTCACGGGGGTGACTGGTTATTCCATTACATCAACGTTAAAAAAAATATTGTCCTTTTTAACAAATCCCAGATATTCTTATATGTGCACTCACTCAATTCAGGCATCTCCAATTCGTAGCTCGTCACTTAGACTATGTTGCTAACAACTATATCTAGTTAGAGTAAAAAGCTGTTAAATCGATTATCAACCTCGACAGTAGACTAATACTAGGTTTCCATAATGCAGACGTTATAATGATTAGTAAAACTACAATTAGCATTAGGTCATGTCTGTTCTTTTTCGTTTCTCCGTAATAGAGTTGTTAACGCTATGATATTCTGGATACGGCTATTGTTGTTAATATTATTTTAGATTTCCTTACTATCAACCCTACAAACAAAACGGCGCGAAAATTGTTTCTTCACCGATTTTAACATTGTTTCGCTTATTCTAAAGACTGCGGCAAGCCAGTTTTTATTCGACAATACGGCTCGAGAACAGTGCAGCATAAAATGATTCGCGTCAAACAATACGAGAGAAAAAAAAATGTGATTTTCGTCGAAAGGCGATAAACAAAATGAAAAAGCAGTTGACTGCGCGAACAGAGACAGCTACGGAAATAATGAATAAAGAGTTTTTCTTTTATCACACTCAACACATCGTCCTTCCTCTTCGTCTTAATTAGCGCCAGTGAATGCTTCCCGCTTCCATCTTTTCTGTTGTATTTCGTATTATTTTTCTTCTCGCTTTTTCCCCTTTCTTCTATTTCTTTTGTTCTTTTTTTTCTTTTCTCTGTCTCTTTGTGTCTTTCTTTTTCTTATTTTTCCTTCCTCTTCTCTGTGTTTTTTTCTTTAACTCTATGTGTTACTTCTTTTTCTTAGATTTTTCAAATTCGTTTTCTTTCTTTCTTTTTTCTTTTTTCGTCTTTTCTTTCGTGTTTTCTTCTCACTCTCTTTTCAAAATTATTGCTTCTTCTACTTACTCTTATTCTTTTTCTACTTCTTCTTCGTCTTCTTCTATTTATTTTTTTTCTTATTATTATTCTTATTTTTATTCATTTTAGTCTCTTTAATTCAATTTTCTCCTTTATTCCCCCCCCCAGTTTCAATTCTTTTTATTTATTTATTTAAATATTTTCTTTTCGTTTTCATTTCAAATTCTCTTCCTTTTTTACTGATCGTCTTTCAAATTATAGTTTATTTAATTAACACATTTTCGTTGTTATTTTTTGTTTTTGTTTCTTTTTCAATTTTATTTCCTTTAGATTTTAACTTTTTCTTTATTTTTTTAAACCTCTTTATTCTTTGATTTTTGTTTTTCATTTAACTTCTCCTTCTTTCCTCTTACGACTTCTTTTATTATTGTCTTTTTCTCAGTTATTGTATTTTTCATTCTATATATTCTTCTTCTTCTTCTTCTTCTTTTTCAGAGTATCGTGTTTTTCATTCCATAGATTCTTCTTCTTTTTTCTTTTCTTTTTTCTTTTTCTTGTTTTTCACACTTTTGTATTTTTCATTCCACTGATTCTTCTTCTTCTTCTTCTTCTTATTATTATTATTATTATTATTATTATTATTTCTTTTAATTTCTGGTGTATGCTCATTTCTTTCCGGGTCCCAAGCAGAAACCTAATGTCAGAAATGTCATCATTACATTTTCCACTAAGCATTTTAAAAACAACAAAGATCACACACATTTTACATAGATAAAGCCCTTCATAACATGTGAATTGTATTCGTGAGTACAGTGTTTTGCATTTCTTTAAGCCATGAGCGACCAGAGATCCATTCAATGAGTCTATCGGGACCTTTCTCCAATCAATCCGAAGGCTCCAACTAGAATTGTTCATGTCCTCACGTGACACATTTTTGAGATTTACATTTCAAAGTTATTATTATTATTATTGTTGTTGATGTTGTTGTTTTCATGTTGACTTTAAAATCGATTTCTATTGGAGACTAAATAATAGCAAAGCTCCTCATACTTCCCGCGAACTCCTTTAAACAGAAGTAAAAGTGATGCTGTCGCCTCGTTTTATTCCATTCCCGCTCGTATTTCCAATTCTTCTAATCACTGTGATAAAAACTTCGGGGCAATTTTAAGTACGCCAATAATTTTGATCACAACATACTCTTCAAGTTTCGCATTATTTTTGACTGTTTAGAAAAACTCCATATAATATTCCACATCATCATTTTCTTTCCCTAAGTAGTTGAGAAAATGACAAACAATGTCTGACAGGTCCTCGTTCCCATGTTTATGACAAGATCTGATTTCAGGGCCTGGACTGGGCGATTCGTTTAACTTTCTCATAGAATTTAAATGATCTCTTCTGCAGGACAGTTTCTGATTTATATATTAGTTTGTTAAAACAGTCGTTTGCAGAATTCCTAATGGTTCACCGTTAGGACCAATTGTTTATATTAGTGAACTAGAGCTACGCTGTATTCGCTTTTTTATGATTGACTGTATTTGTCCAAGTAACGTTCTGCTGTGTCAGGTCTATTGTAGTATTAAAATACTTTATTCTATTACATTTGTGCTGTGCTACGATTCATAGGAAATCAGTTTCTTTCTACAGTTATTTTTTTACTGTTACTTACCTTTACATAAATTAGTTATCTATTTTGTTGATTATATTTAGCTTTTTGTGACAGGTTCTTTTACTTTCTATCATTTTAACCTTTTATTCTTAATTCATTAATTATATTATATTTTTTGTTTGGTTTTCTTGAAGCACTTTTCATACCATTCTTCAAAGTTACGACATTTTTATTTTATCTTCTTAATTATCCTCTTCTTTTTTTCTTCTTCTTTCTTGCTTTTTTTTTTCTATTTATATATTTTTTTTCTTTTCTTTCTTTTGCTTATATTTTATTTTCTTTCTTTGCTTCTTTTGTCTCTTCCTGGGGTGTATCGTTGCTTCTTCCCCGTTTAGTTTTTTTTTTCTTGCTGTCTATCATTTCATGCTTCTATATACATATTTTGATTTACTCCTTCCTTTCGAATTTCTTTCGTCACCTTCACTTTCTACTCCTTTCCTATTCCTCTTATCTTTCACCTCATTCTTTTATCTTCTTCTACTATTACGCTTATGTATGTATGTATATGTATATTAAATAAATATACTTATTGCCTTACGTCGAAGTACATATTTAATGCAATCTTCAGCTATTTATAATGGTGATGAACTATTCATCGCCATTATAAGTACCTGAAGATTAAATTGTATATGAAACTCTGAGTCTTACATTCGACGTAAGCAATATGTATATTTATTAATATATACTTTATAGCTCTGTGTTAACACCAAAAATTAAATAAGCCATTTATTTGTAAAATTATATACACGCGTGATCGCACGTATGTATGGTTGCTTGTATCTATATTTATTTATTTAATTCAGATAGATAGATAGATAGATAATGACGAGATAGATAGATAGATAGATAGATAGATAGATAGATAGATAATGAAGAGAACGAGATAGATAGATAGATAATGAAGAGAACGGGATAGATAGATAGATAGATAGATAGATAGATAGATAGATAGATAGATATGAAGAGAACGGGATAGATAGATAGATAGATAGATAGATAGATAGATAGATAGATATGCAAAAGGGAGAAAGAACAGACGGGGTAATAATCCACCGTTCGTAGCATTTACTTTTTAAAAAGTACTCAATCCAACGTAGACCAATATATTATTATTATTATTATTATGAGAGATTATTATAATTATATTTTTTATAAGAGATTAAAATGTTTTATTATAGTCTGTTAATATAACAAATATAATATACATACACACTCACGCTAAATAATATGTGTTTATAACTGGAAAATGAGAAACCAAATGTCCGCAAATTTTATCAATATCCTTGAAGTTTTGAATAACGTATCCTGAAAACATTCTGATTTTAATTCAGGTACTGTGGAGTAATGAATAGCGGCCCGGATTGAGGAATCGAGTTCGAATTCCACTGGAATCCATTACATTCACTTACGTGCTAATACCCTTGGGAAAGGTATGAATCCTTTTCTCTATAAGTAAATAGCAGGACAGACCGGTTTCTATAGCCTTGGATAGCATCTGGTCTACCGCAGAAAGAAATGTCAACCTACTCCGGGAAAAAAAATTGCATCGTCAATTATGTATCGAAAGATACGTGATCGCCTAAGCGTGTATCACGCATGGCACATGATTGCTCTCGCTATCATTATTATTATTATTATTATTATTATTATTAATGCTTTTGTTATTGTTCTCTTTCATCTCTACTTCTCTTCCTACTCCTCCTGCTTCTTTCATTCTATTCTAAGCATGTCCACTGTTTTCGCGGAAAAACAGCATAGCGTAAATGAAAAATGACACAAACTTAAAGAAAATAAAGTATTATCGTCAAAATGCTTATGTTATTATTAAGATGAAAGAAAAAAGTATTTTTTAATTATTTTTTGAATTTTTTTAATATTTTCTAACACGTTCGAAATTTTGGTTA